TCCATCTAGAGTTTCACAAGTTTACTTCCTAGTCAACCGATGTTTACTTTCTAGTCCAAGCTGCTGTGTCTTTATTCTTTAATGTACTAATGATTTATGAAGATCCCATAAAAAAGATTGGAGAAATAAATGGTGGTGGTAAAAAATTTTGAACAGTTAAAGGCTAAGGTTGTATGGTTTATCATGGGCTTTGGTTTTAGAATATTCGACAAATTCACATGGTGTAAGGGTTCTTACAGCTGCAACAACAGATACCTTTCCTCGTAATATTTCTTTGCCATGCTGTATCTCTTGGTAGTGTGCGTCTTTAAGTGAAGAGGATACAAGGAACATCTCTTTCACTCCTTTCCTTTTGCCTTTTCTTGCCACATTGTACTTAGCATGACTGGCTAGCTTTAAAGTTGAGTTCTTTTTGTGTTCTTTGATCGGGGAAGGGTAGGGATCTAGTTTTCTAGGTTTAATATGGCTGGTTCTAAAATGGGGGTCTCTTGTTTCTTGGTTTTGGGATCTGAGTGTTGAATTTTTGTTAAAAAGATTGGAGCTTTTGAGGATTTTGGTTTCTTGGGATTTTTATTATTTTTTTGGTTTTTTGTTGTCTGTGAATTTGTGTTGTAGATAGAGAAGAAAAATGGCTCCAGGATTGGATTTTTCAGATTGGTGGGGAAAAGACAGAAAGAAGGGATCACCTGTGGTAGTGAAAATGGAGAATCCTAACTATTCTGTCGTGGAAATCAATGGTCCAGATTCTGCATTTAGGCCAGTTGAGAAGAGCAGAGGCAAGAATGCTAAGCAAGTCACATGGGTTTTGCTCCTCAAGGCTCATAGAGCTGTTGGTTGTGTTGCTTGGTTAGCTACTGTCTTTTGGGCCTTGCTAGGGACTATCAAGAAGAGGTTGATCTTTAGACAAGGTGTTGCTGTGGCTACTGAGAAGTTAGGCAAAGGGAAATTGGTACTTAAAATCATTAGAGTGTTTTTAGTGACCTCTTTGGCAATTTTGGCTTTTGAAGTGCTTGCTTATTTGAAAGGTTGGCGTTATTTTGAGAGTGCTAATTTGCATATCCCAAGTACCTTGGATTTGCAAGGCTTGCTTCACATGGTTTTTGTTGCTTGGTTAGCATTCAGGGCTGATTACATTGCGCCAGTAATTCAAGTTCTCTCTCAATTCTGTGTTGTTTTATTCCTTATTCAATCTGTAGATCGTTTGGTACTTTGTTTGGGTTGCTTTTGGATTAAATACAAGAAGATTAAGCCAAGGATTGATGGGGATCCATTCAAGTCAGATGATTTTGAGGCACCAGGCTATGAGTATCCCATGGTTCTTGTACAAATCCCAATGTGTAACGAAAGAGAGGTAATGCACTAAACTTTGTCTCCTCTTTGTTTTGCTTTCTTGTGCTTGCCTTCCATCGTTGCGTGTTGCTTTTAGCTTGCGGCTAAATCTGTGACTGGGACTTATTTTCTGCATTCAAACATTTAGGGGACATGTTAATTAATTTAAGCAGTTGAAATGACAAAAATATAGCAAAATTTTCAGAGATTCGAAAAATGATAATTGTGAAGTAGAAGAATTTATCTTTGAATGATTAGATGTTCCAATAGCTGATATATATATATATATATATATATATATATATATATATTAATTTCTAGTCGTCAAATAGTTTCGTGATTTATTTGTAATTTGAAGAATTCTATGAGTAAGTTAGGTGCCATTTAAATAATAATTTTGGATTGTATCTAGCAATCGAAAAAATAGTAGAAAATTTATGTCATGATGATTGGATCTGTTATTTTAGATCAATATCAAACTAGGAAGTATCAGACTTTAGATAATTATTATAGGGACATATAGGATTCGCATACGATATAAGTGGTGGCAATGTCAAAATCCCTACAGAGTCCTTGATGTTGATATGCTTTCTGTTTGCAGGTATATGAGCAGTCTATCTCTGCAGTTTGCCAAATGGAGTGGCCAAAGGATCGCATACTGATTCAGGTTCTTGATGATTCTAATGATGAGAGCATCCAATGGTTAATTAAGGCAGAGGTTGCTAAGTGGAACCAAAAGGGTGTCAATATAATCTATAGGCATCGTTTGATTAGAACAGGTTACAAAGCTGGAAATCTCAAGTCCGCAATGAGCTGTGATTATGTAAAGGATTATGAGTTTGTTGCGATTTTTGATGCTGATTTCCAGCCCAATCCAGACTTCCTTAAGCTGACGGTGCCGCATTTCAAGGTAGATAAAGACAAAAGAATTTCATTTCAATGAACTGTTTGCTGTCCAAAATGTTTTTGTGATTTAATCCACTTGTCTGTCTTACCTTGTGTTGCAGAACAATCCTGAACTAGGGTTGGTTCAAGCCAGATGGGCATTTGTGAACAAGGATGAAAATTTATTGACTCGTCTTCAAAACATCAATTTGTGTTTTCACTTTGAGGTTGAACAGCAAGTTAATGGAGCATTCCTAAATTTCTTTGGTTTCAATGGAACTGCTGGTGTTTGGAGAATCAAAGCCCTTGAAGAGTCTGGCGGATGGCTTGAAAGGACAACTGTAGAGGACATGGACATAGCTGTCCGTGCACATCTTAATGGTTGGAAATTCATCTTCCTTAATGACGTGAAGGTACTCTTGTGCTACTATCAACCTATATCCATCGCTTCCATTGCATCAGTAAATATAGTTTGGTAGGATCAAGATGAACAAATACAGAGCTTCTTTCAGGATCATTCCATTTCATTTTAAAGCAATCTAAAATTTTAGTATGTAAGATTGATGACAAGAAAACAGGTGCATACTTTCCTTCCTCATAAATTTTGGATATGCCCTCACAACATGAATTATATGTGTAACCTTTCAGGTCCTCTGTGAAGTTCCTGAGTCCTATGAAGCTTACAGGAAGCAGCAACATCGTTGGCATTCTGGTCCTATGCAACTTTTCCGCTTGTGTCTGCCAGCAATTATAACCTCTAAGGTGCCTTTGATCCCATTTGTGCTTCCTGTAATATAAATTCCACACTGATTTAACTTTACTAGGGGTTTTCCATGTTTTCAATCTTGCAGATAGCATTATGGAAGAAAGCAAACTTAATATTCCTATTTTTTCTTTTGAGAAAACTCATCCTTCCTTTCTATTCCTTCACACTATTCTGCATAATTCTTCCTTTAACAATGTTTGTCCCCGAGGCTGAGCTTCCTATGTGGGTTATTTGCTATGTGCCTGTCTTGATGTCATTCCTCAACATTCTTCCTACCCCCAAATCCTTCCCTTTTATAGTTCCTTACCTTCTCTTTGAAAACACCATGTCAGTTACCAAATTCAATGCCATGGTTTCTGGTTTATTCCAGTTGGGTAGCTCTTATGAGTGGGTTGTCACCAAGAAGGCTGGTAGGTCATCAGAATCTGACTTGCTGGCTGCTGCTGAAAGGGCCTCGAAGACAATGAACCAACCACAGATATGCAGAGGAGCTTCGGAGACCGAGCTTGAACTGTTAAACCAATTGAAGGAACAAAAAGAAGCAGCTCCTAAACCCGTAAAGAAAGTGAACAAGATTTACAGGAAAGAGCTTGCTCTAGCTTTCCTCCTACTCACAGCTTCTGTCAGGAGCTTGTTATCAGCCCAGGGAGTCCACTTCTACTTCCTTCTCTTCCAAGGTGTGACCTTCCTTGTTGTTGGTCTTGATCTGATTGGAGAGCAAATAAGCTAAGCGTGAATGAAAGCAAGATAGAGTGTAATACATTTCCGCTCAGGTTCAGATAATCTATCAATAGCCTACTGGGATCGACCATGCAAATGATGGTGAAGGGTAACCTTCAATTCAATAAAATGGAAGTCATTTTTGACGTGATTTGAAAGCCTATAGGATTCTCTATTCAGAAATCACTCTCCATACTGTGGTCAAATTTCCTTTTATTTTTATTTTTTTCACATAGGATATTGGTCATTGTTAGTTTTCCTCAGGCATCGAATTGTTGGTGGTTGTTATAGGTAGGATATTAGGTTTCATTTTTACTTTTACAGTTGACTTGTATTCTTGCTTGGGTGTGATTTAGCAGCATTTAAGGTTCAAGGCCATATTTGCTCTTGTAAAGTCTAAAAGTTTGAGTGAGATCAAAGCATTACCTTGCCTGATGCTTCTGGTTTTCAGATTTTATCATTATAGTGTGTGACATGTAAAAGAATTACTATATGTACATTTTCACATATCCCTATCCTCATATTCCTTTTGTTCCCTGCTTGCAATCTGTTCCTCTGAATGTGCATGCATGTGCACATGTATGCCTGGATTTCTTATTTTAATAGGAGGTCAAAAGAAAGTGTCGGCAGCGAAAATGACAAAACAAGCTGAGCCTTTGTAGCTAATATCAGATGGCCAAGGTGATGTGGTTATGGTTCACACACGCATCACTTTTCAAATGATAGTGTCCAAAAGTTGGGGTGGGGGGGTGCAAGCGATCTTTCCTGGGCATATAGTGATTGTGATTATGGATTCTGTATATCGTGCTGTAGTATAGTGAGGACAAATTCACTACTTTCTCTGGTCCACGCCATTAAAATATTTGTCTCGAGAAGACAATCAGAAAAATCTTTTGATTTGACCACCCACTCCGTTTCATGGCCTTTCACTTTCATTTTCCGGCATCGCATCTGTAGCTGGCACTGTGCTGGGTTACTAGTGGGATTAGCTTGGTAATCCGTAGGCAAGTCCAAGTTTTTCTGCCTGTCCTAACATGTTTTGGATATGACCAAGTCCATTTTACTAGGTCTTGCATGGAGGATTATGGAAGTGTGGATGATATGTCATTGTTTTCCTCTTCAATTACAAGAGTCAAGTCTGTCTGCAATTGAAAGAGGCCAGGACCTCAAAACTGAACTCACTGTTCATTGGGCCTTTTATGAGTATGAAAATGCTTCTGTTTATGCACATATGTAGAAGATTCTACCCAGTCCTGCAGGAAGACTCTTGCGAGTCTCAACTCCAGCAAAGGCCATCCCCTTGAAATAAGATTATCCTGATAAATATTTATGGTGGAGCTCAAGTCCATTTCAGCAAGAAAATCCAAGGCAATAATGTGTTAATCTTTACCTAAGTGGCAATAACAAAACTCTACGTTAATCAAGACCTGCTACATGTATACCTATAGACTAATGGATATCATAGAAATGACATGCAACCTGCACCTTTTACATTCACTTGGCTTCCAGCTACATAAAAATCAATGCAGTCATCCCTGAGTGCTTAAGAACTTATGATGTGCATCATTTAAATTAATATCTCTTCGGGATTAATCTTTTGGCTTCCGTAAGAGCTTTTACCCATGGATAGTTTTGGCTGCTGGATGAGAACTGGGGTCGAACTAGTCATCGTCTGGTTCTGTTGAAAAATCTGGCTCTTCGGGTTTTTGCAACTTGGGCATGTCAACTTTCTTGACTTTCTGAGCTCCTCTTCTTGTGTTTGCAGCAAATCTTGAAGCCAGTATTGTGACACCAAGGTGCTGTTTTGCTTGAGAAGAAGTTGAAGATGCAAAACTTGGTTCAGCCTCCTCTTGTGTTGTTTCGTCATCAGCTGTTTGCCCATCAACAGAAAGTGAGAAGGATTCTGACATGCTCAAGCTCTTTGCCATCATTCTCTTCTTGTGCCGACGCCAAGCAGCCTGAATGAAACAGGTAGCCCATGTTCTCCAATGGTAAGAGTAGAAACGGAAGGTATGTTGTAGCTTCTTGCTATGGAGACGTCTAAATTGGTTTGCAACGAACTTGAGGTCTTCTGCTTGCAATGCAAATGCTTCCACTTCTTCTAGAGCTCTCACTGTCCTTGTGGAAGATGGTAAGTTGAGAGTAGATTTTGGGAGCAATGCCCAGGCAAGCAGCTCCTCACCGCAAAAGTCGCCAGGTCTCAAAATAATTGAATTGAAGAAACCAGTTCGTCCTCCATTTGTAGTTGAGCTCTCTAGCTTTCCCCTGATAATGAAAAGCATCTCTGTGACTGGATCACCTTCTCGAACTATATAGGTTCCTTGAGTACTCAAGGAGGACACTAAGCGCTCACATATTGCATCAAGTAGCTGACCATCCATCTGTGAGAAAAAAGGAACCTGCAAATAGGAAAAACATTAGCTAGAGCACGAAAGGAGCAGATAGATTTTAAAATGCTTGATGGCAACACTAGGGAGCTACTTACTCGTCTAACAAGGTCCAGGCATAGGTGGCGCTGGATGTCTCGACGAAGATCTGTAGGTAATGCACGCAAGATTGATTCTCCATCAACCCCTCTAGTTGCAAGCCACTTGTATTGAACAAACCGTCTGACACGTTCTCGTAGACTTTGAGGGAGTTGACGATGTCTCATCCACTCCTCTGTGTCTCGTCGCTTGAGCCTCCACTCCTCAAGCCTCACAGTGATAGATTGCAAGTATGTCTGTGCAAGAGAAAGCATGTCGAAAGAGCAATGCAAAGATTATTCTGGCCATCATTAAACATTATCTTGCTTTTATACTTCAGAGGAAATTCATCATAAAATTTCCAAGGAAAATAGTTTCTTGAGAATGAGGACATGTCTAAGCCTTCTTCAACTAAATAGATCTCCAATGTTTTTTTTTTATCTGAGAAACATTTCTATTATAAACACACAGTCCAACGGAGGCCAAAAGATAGGCAACGGGGTGCCTCAAGTGTCTACATTTACCTGCATATTTCCGATCAAATGAGCAAACAAAACCAGGCCCAAGATGGCAATGAGTATGGCAAATGCAGTTTCACCAATAAATGTGCTTGTTGACAAACTCTGGCCATAGGAACTGAAAAATGGAACAAACAGAAAAGATATGTAAGAAAGTCCCTACAAAAATGCACTTCAGTTATGAAAACAATATAGATGGAATCTATGTATCTGCAGATGTTAATTTGTAGCAATTGCATACCGAAGAAAGAAAATTTTCGCTTCAATATCATGCATCGATTCAAAGAGCCAATGAAAATGATAGAATGCAATCAGATGCTATCATTATCTTGAATGAGCATTTGTACCTCAAGTTCTGCAAGCCCCACCAAAGACAGTAGAAATACTTTTCAAGAAAATCAGAGGAAAGTACATTCTGCTTCAATGCATTTGCGAAGATGCCGTAATCGAAAAAGGTTTTGTTGGATGGATTACATCTTGAAAATAAAACAGTAGTGTTTTCCCATGACTTGCGATCAGCAAAGTTCAAAGTACTACAATCCAAGTAACGAGGCTTGCATGGTATAGGGTTCAATTCATGTTTGCAAGCAGATTTCCAGCATGTTGCATGGCGCTCAATCGACAACAAATACCAGGATGCCCCCAAGACCTACAGGATCAGAGGCGTAATCAGTATAAAGCACCACCAGATGACCAAAAACAACAACAGGAGCATTTCGAGAGAGAAGCAAGTAGCCTCAAAAGGCATTTACGCTCTGATTTAAGGAGTCATTACATACATGACTAGCCAACATGTATAGCAGGAGATTATATGCAGCCCCAGCCCAGGCAGTCTTTGTGACTACTCCAGTAGCTTTAATGATCTCAGAACTCAATGGAAAAATCAGATATAATCTGGGAATATACTGGAGCAGAACAATCAGTACTATGGCATTGTTGGTATGATCAGCATGAGAGCTTCTAATTGCTGGTATTATAAACCATATCACAATCTGCCAAAAAAAAGAACAATTTGATGCCATTTCCTCTTTAGCTTCAAAGGATAGACTTCAATAATGAAAAGATACTAAAAAAATCAAAGCAAGAAGAACTGTCATTTGCAAGTAATGGATGCTTTAAAAAAAATCAAACACCCTGCCATATGTATTGCTGCCATATCTAATCTCCATCTAAACCTTTTCCCTTCCTTTCCTTTATTTATTTTATTCTTGTTATTTTCTTGGTTCTTAGGTGACGAAGTTAGAGCTCAAACTCGAGAACTCATCGCCGTCTTTGCAGAGGTAAAAGCCACTGGGCGAAACACCAATTTGTAACAGCAGCTCAACCTCAAGAAGTGAAAGAGATGCCGGGAAAATTGAGGCAAAAGGGCAGCTGAAAATACAATAGCAACTCCAACCTCAACAACCAAATGAAAATTTCAAGTTCATTCTCACAAGTATCTGTGATTTCTAGGCAGAAGAGAAGAAAGAAATCACAGGCTAAGTTATACATTCTAATCAAATAAATAAAAGCAAATAACAAAGTTAGGATTGCAAGTACCTGAGGAAGAGGTAATGCTGCAATAAGATCTATGAAGAAATCTGATCTCAAATATCTCCTTGCAATCAACTCAGGATCCATAACAAGTTCACCTCTCCCAAAAATTCTTGAACTAGGTGAGACATAAGCTGTCCTAAACTTTATTACAATATGAACTATGTAAAATACATCAGCAAATGTTCTAAAACATGTCACAGTAATTCCTAAATTCTAATCAGTATCCATACAAGTTGACTGTCCATTGCTGATTACTGATGGAAGGTAAAAAAACAACGGATCAACAAAGAGTGCTGTTAAGCATGAGAAGAGGAAAACCCTGTTCCATTTCAAGATAACATCACTTCCTGGATCAAGAATCTTTTCTCTCCAATATGGTTCATTGTTATTCTCCGGAAATACCTTAAACCTTCCAAACTTAGGAACCTTGTCACTTGTGTTTCTGTCATTAATAATACCACCTTCAGTTTTGAAGAATGGAGCTGATGTCTTGTGAACAGGCAATGTCTTGTCCAGGTTTTGACCATCATTAAACCTGTGAATTTTGAGAACACCCTTCAATCAAATCATCAAAGAAAGCAGATGAGAGCCATAAAAGAGAGAATATGTAAGTTAAGAGAGTAACCTCACAAGCTTCTCTTTCTTGAACTCCATGATTGCAAGTGCTAATCATATGACATACTATGCATTCAGGAAAGGCAAAGAAAAGAGGATTCTGCATCGCAAAATATTCCCTGAATTTTCCATTTCTGAACTGAAAGCAAGTCTTTCGAGAAATGAAGGTTGAACTCCAAGCTGCAAGAGATGAAAGGAAATATTTTGCAGGAAGAGGAGAAGAGAGACTTTAATTGGTGAAATGGAAAAGTGGGTGTTCAATGTGGTTAGCTTCCATTAAAAGCCTGACAGAAAACTAACAGTAAAAGAAAAGAAACACAGCTTAGATACTCAGTTACTCTCTCTCTATTTCTTTTTCATGTTTTTTTAATGATCTAATAATATTTTCCAACCATCTTTCACGTATCAAAACTAATTTTTCTCTAATCACCTCTTAGATGTTCTCATACTGGAATCCTTAATCATTACATAGAGAGCATAGTTGCAAGACTCAACATGGGTTGAGAGTTGAGAATTGGTGAGGTTAGCTTGTGCGGATCCATAGGTAAATTAACTATTTTTTTTTTTTAATGAAAACAGCATTATTCTTGTTTTAAAATAATGTCGATTTAGATTGAAAAAAAGAAGAAAGAATCGGACTTAAAACTAAAACTCAATTCAGGCAAAGCTTTAAATCTGCAAATGATCATATTAACCTGTGGCGGCCGGATCAAGTATTATGAATATGGTGGAAAGAAAACCCACTTCCCATCCAAACCATGTATCCAAAAATTCAGTTATTTTATACGCTTTGTTTTTCAACTTGTAAGCAAGTGGACTTGAACTCTACAGACATAGCGGACGTGGAGGCATGACCAAATTACAAATAAAAAAAAAAATGTATGAACATTACCTGTATACCAGACACCAAGAACGCAATAATCTTTTTTATTGGCAGATTTCTCGGCCAAATATCTTCTATTTTATTAAAAAATTGTGTGGTTTAGGAGGTTTTCTCGGGTGTAGATTTGATTTCTGTACTCTTTTTTCTTTTTTCATGAGTGTTGTAACTTACAAGGAGAAATAACTAAGTATATCCCAATTTAAAGCTATGGTCATGAGTCAAGTAAATTGTTGTTTTAGAAGAATTGTATTCCAAATAATATTTTATAAAAAATATTTTCTTATTTAAAATTATTTTTCTATATTTTTAATTTTAATGTTAAAAATAATATTATTTCAAGACTTAAAAATATAAAAAGATATAATAAATTATATCTACCGTAATCAAGGCACCTCCTGAAAACGTGTGGAGCCATTGCCTCTTGACAAACTACAGCTTCCCAGTCTGCACCCCTTTGAATTTTCCTCCTTGGAGAGCCATAGATATCAAAATGTACACTTCTTTATGGATGCTAACCCAACCCTCTTCAAGCTGTGATTCATATTCTGCCACAATAGACTCTCTTTCTTTACTTTTTCCTTAATTTTGTTTTCCTTCTTGGTTGAAGACCAAGAATCATACCTGTTTTCTCTGTTGGAAAAAAACTGGCGCACCCCTTTGACGGGGCAAAGACTATAAATTTCAATCTTTATATTTTATTTTACATGAGTGCCAATAGCATAAACACTAAGATAAGCATATTTAATTGATGGTTTGATTGTATTTCTTCTGTCTAATTATTGTGCAGGGTTTGCAAATCCCAGTGGTATCAATTTCTTCCACTCATAAAGAGGAGACATTTAGTAGGCTAATTCATTGATCCGGCAATTTATTGATCTGTCAATCCGTGACTTGGTTGCATTTTAAAATAATATTATTCTTCTTTTAAAAAAATATTTTAAACTTGTAACCTTAACATGAACATTAGATCGGGTCATGGGTTAAGTTGTGTTTAATAAATTAGCCAACAAGTCTTGTGTACAAGAAATTACAAAAATAAAACATCATGAATTTTAAAAACAAGATTAGCCTTGATGAAGAAGAAAGAAAAAACTAGTTATTAAAACTAAAAAAAATAAAAAAAAAGTCTAATAAGTAGGGGCAGGATTTACAAGAAACCAAGTGCAAAAAAAACCAGCCAAGAAACATAGTATTAACCTGTTTTTTCTTGCCGGCCATGGAATCTGAAAACTAATGTAGAGTGTAGTTACTAGGATTATCAAATTAGCATCATGAACTGAAGATGTCGGAGGCCGGAGGCCGGCTACCATTTTTGAAGGTTAAACATTATCAACTGGGGACTAGGACATAACAGACCACAACATGTAGCTTTCACTAGTAAAGTTTAATCCTAATGCTTTATGCTAAAATTTATATTTTCATTATTACTTTCCGGTGGAATTATCATATTTATTTACTAGAAACTGAGCCTGCACTTTTCAATTCAATCAAATCAATTCAATTTAAAATCATACAAATTTAACCAATAAAACTCGCTTATTGGTGAAAGAGTGAGATAAAAGCTCACTTTAAAAGATAGATTCAACTACAAAAACAAACACTATCTGAATTTCACTTTATGTAACATGCAAGAACTCAATTTTCCCCATTCATGGAGGTCAACATCTTAGATTATGAATCCTGTTTCAACAAACACTTACGCTAAGACAGCTATGTGTACTTCGAGGATTTACTTGATTTTCTAAAAGATATGGATCTTGAGTTTCTCGTCATCAAAGAATAGGAAATCAAATCAACTTGAACCGTTTTAAGTGCCGTTTATATATATGAACCACGCACTCATGAAAATATTATATTCGTTCTGGAAAAAGCATTTAATAGAATTTATTCTTCTAAATGCATCAGACGGTTATAAAAAATGCATTCTTAAAATTATTTTAATAAAAAAACTTAGTTTCAATTAACGTTAAAACTGGGGAATATTATTACGTTCAGCTCGTTGGCACACCAGATTTTGTGGTAATCCTGAGGCAATAATATTATTTTTAGTATGAAAATTTCGAATTTCGGGGATAGATACGAAGCCCAGAGACGCGACCTTGATGAATTGGGACACACAAACAAAGCACATGCGGCCAATCAAGGCTAAAAGAGTGCCAAATTTATGCTCAGAGGGTCCTACATTAGCGATCTCTGCGGTGACTGGAACGTGCTTCTCGTTTTGCTGAGTTTGTGGAAGGTGGGCTGCTTGATGCATCATGCACCCATGTCAGGTCTCTCATCTCATCACCCAGAAAAGACATCAAGAACAGTTAAACCATGAATTCAATTTCTATTTTAGCATACCCTCTTGACTTGAATGTAGATAGATTCGAATTCGATGAGAAATCACGATGTTTTTTCCTGACTATTGTAGTTCGAGCTCGTAAGAAATCTAAACAAGAAAAGACTTTGTTCCGATGTAATTTATCGTTTTCGTCGTAAGAAATAGACAGGAGGCTGCTGAGTTTTTTGAAATCTGCAGTGAAAAGCACCTATTTGTTTGATATTTTTTAGCGCTAGTGTTGGGGTTGATCTGTTGCTTTTTGACGCAGGTTGAGTGGTAGTGATTGGCTCAGGAAAATGCAGTGATTTTATCACCATGGTTTGGAGTTTACTTTGAAGTTGACTCTGCTGTTTCATGGAAGTCATGGACTCTGACGAGGAGCCCAACAGGCATCCTGTACTCAACTTCGATTGAAAGTGCATGGAAACAATCGCTCGATACAGAGTTCACATTATTGAAATAGAAGGCAATGCTCCTCTCCAGGCTCGAATCCCGGATTTATAATTGGCAAAACAAGAGCAGTGTAATGAGAACCTTTAGAAAAGAGAAATGCAAATTATTTGGTAACTTTCTCCTTAAATACCTATGTTAGATTAAGTTGGGTTTGAACCAAACTTTAAGCTTAGATTTGATGGATCAAGAATATAAATAGTACAATCACCATTTAAGTTAACTCTCCTCATAAAAAAAAAAAAAAAAACAAGTTAATACAAAAATTAATTGTATTGATGGCTAAAATCAATAACAATAATAATTTTATTTATTTATTGCTAGAATCCAATGATTTCTCTATCTCCACTACTCCTAAACCATGAATTAAAATACAACAAAAATAAATTTATATATCGAAATTAAATTGAAAATATATGGAAGGAAAAAATAGATATAATTTATACAGTTTAATGACAATAAAACTTTTTGTTTGAATTTTAAAGCCATTACTGATCACCCATCTACAGCTTCTTTTCCACTTTGATCATTTCTTCTAATTGTATCCATGCTCAATAAATTTGATTTAGTTAATTTTTAACTTGGTCCAAAAAAATACAATCATGACAAAAATATTTGAGGATCAAATTAAAAAAAAATAATAATAAATCCACAATAAAATATAAATAGATAAATAATGACATGTACATTGTTGTTACCACACCATTTAATGTTTTCCGTAATATTAAAAAAAAAAAACAAATACAAGAAGAAAAACATATTTAGTTACAATGACAAAAAATGATATTAATGTTCCAAAATAGTAAAAAAGACAATCAGAAAAAGAACCAGATATATATATACATACATACATATATATATATATATATAAACACTTCATTAACATCCAATAAAAATTATTTAAGAAAAAATTATTAGCGACTTGTTATGTGTCCTACTCTCTCTCTCTCTCTCTCTCTCTATATATATATATATATATATACATTTTTTCACGTGGTTTTTAGAAAATAACGTGTTCGTGACATTTCATATGATCACAACCTTAGGAGTTCCGTTGTAACAGTAAAATTAAATGATACAGCACAAGCTACATGACAATAAAAAATGGAATAAAGTAATCATCAATCATTCACAAGATATATTTAAACAGACAAACCATTCAACAGAACCACTTCAGCCATATGAAAATACGGGACTATACAACCGATAAGAAATTGAACGAAGCAACTGTCCCAGGAAACTCCATTGAGGAATGGCACTGCTCATCATTGCACTTTTAGGACAAGTGTCAAGCGGATTAAGGATTAGGTTTCCAGGCGTGGAAACATGGACTACTACTGAAAAGAAAATAAATCCAGGCCTCATCCAGGCCTCGATGAGGGTTTAAGATCTTCCTATGCAACAGCAACAGATGAAGAAATGGATCATTCTCGAGGCCATCAATAATGTTAGAAATCCTCCAGCTGAGATTTTTCAAAAAGATATGTTGCAGCTTAATAATCCAAACAGAGACAGGCAACGTACACAATAGTCGAGTTACCTCTCTGAGCTTGTTGGGAGAAGCGGTCAGTACTCACAAGGCAAAGTTCATTGCTATGAGCTTGTATAACCTGGCATCTTAACAGTGCTCTTCCAGCAGCTCAAAAAGACATCCGCTTTGTAAAAGACCAGATGGGCAGGAGATTAACAGGCCAAAACTCATACTATAGGAGAAGGGGTAGAAATATCGAGAAGAGAGAAAATAAGGATGGACCAATGCAAGCAAGGGAAAACAGCAGCTTCTTATAATGTCAGAAATTTTGAAACTTAAGCAACAGCCAACCCAATCAAGGAAGAAAAAAACATTTCATTCCTGTTCCATTTGAAAGCTGATGAAATGAAAGAATAAAAACAGAAGGATGACAAAAGTTGTTTAAAAAAATTTTCCTGCACCAGAAACAATTAGACCAACCAATTCATTTTTCTTCAGGTTAGTTCATTTGTCCAATATAGTAGCATACAAGAAGAAAAACCATTTACGCATCAACTGAAAGATAAGAGAAAGTACCTTGTGTGACCGTGAGTACCCAAAACTCAACCAATTTTGAAATTTTAATTTTTAAGAATAGGGCAACCACACGAGATTCTAAGAAAACCCCAACTTCTGTGGAACAGATATAGGTACCTGCCAGAAGTTTTTGAAGCAGCTCTATCCTTCTAAGCTAACTAAATGAGATGCCATTAGAGTTTGAGGAAGGAGCATCACAGCTGGAGTGCAATCAAACAGAAGCACGTAGGCATTCAGTTTAGCAGGGAGCCCAAACATTCATTACTGAAGATTTGAAGCAGCTGTCTATCCTTCTAAGTTTACTAAAACAAATGCCACTAGAGTTTGTGGGAGGCGCATCACAGCCGAGGTGCAATCAAACAGAAGAATGTAGACATGCAGTTTAGCAGGGATCCCCAAACATTCAAAATAGAAGACCCCAATGCAGGGCAGCCAACAATGAAACCTCAAGTGTAGAGAAGCACAAAACCAATGAAGCAGACCCAGAAGAGACCTCAACACAAAAAAGAAAAGCATAAAGTTTTAGCACCACTCAGAAGCAACCTGTCTCAATAAATTCATAATAACTACCTACAGAGCCTTCTGCTAGAAAAGCCTACAACTATCCTGCATAGCTTAAAGAAAAATAACAAACATAGTAATAAGTATGAAGAAACTTAACCAAATCCACGAGGCTGAGGGCGTTGCCCGTTTAAAACATAGTGGTACTGAAGTCCAAACATAATAAACACACTCTAATTGCAGTATTTTCCAAGCAAAGCCAAGTCACCTAGGCTGCAACTCTTAACTCCTGCTTCGGCGACGATCCCTGGTGCCATTTCTGTCCAAAACACAGAAACACCAACCATTAATAAATCTACAGAGATAAGCAACAGGGTTAAGGCCAAGGTCCTAACAATATAAACTGGCAATAATAGTTAAAAATTCACCCATTGGCATATGGGAGCTCTTCACGTCCACGGTACTGTGGTGACCTGCTATAGCTGCGCCCACGAGGTGATAGACTGCGGCGCTTGGGGGATCGCCCTTGAGGGCTGTGGCTCCTGCTCCTGGGTAATTTGTCCAAAGAAGAATTTAAAAAGCACCAAATATAAGTCCACTTTATGAAAAGAAAAGGAATTTACAAACACACACCATGCACATATAACATACATGCATCATAGATACATATACATTGAAGGCACTATAAGTTTCAAGAATTCACCTTCGGCCATAGCTTGGGCTCCTGCGATATCTAGGGCTGCGGCTACGACGTCTTCCTGCACCTCCTGAACCAACACGCAAGCGACACTCACGAGCGAAATGACCAGCCTCACCACACTCATAACACTTCAAGTCAGAACCACCAGAACGACCACGACCCCCTCCTCGTCCACCGCCGCCACCACCTCCTCCTCCTCTAGAGTTGTGAGAAAGCTCAACTCTCCAGCCATTTTTTCCTGCTCCAGAAATAATTGATTAACAACTAAAATGAATCAACAGAAAAATAAATAAAACTGCTTGTAAAATAACATCTGTGCAGCAAGTATCAAGATTTATCAGTGCATATAAAGAAGAATTAAGCCTATCAATTATTACCCGCAACACTTTAAAAAATATATATATATATATATATATATATATTGTTTTTGAAATAGTGTAAGGCAATTGAAACAATTAAATCAAGGCATCATAAAAAGAAGTTTGCAAAATTTGATGATAATTAAACAGAAAAGAATTTTAAATTTCTAACTAAGCAACAAAACCATTATGTTTGAAAATGATAATGCATAAATTTCGATATAAATTGAGCCAAGATCATGGGCTCTTATCTTCTTGACAAAAAAATCAGGTGATGAAACCAGCTATCGTAAAGTCATAGCTTCTCAACACCTCGAATTCCATGACATAAAGCATGCAATTAACACCTACCAATCATCCATCTATTTATTATCAAGGGGGAGAGAGATGAGACAAGTAAGATTGACACACAACGTCGGCATTAGACCAAGCCATACAGTTAAATAACAATAAGTTCAAGCAATAAACTTACAATCAGAAAACTAAACTCCAGTAAACAAAAAAGGCGTACCATCCAACTCATGAATAGCATCCTGAGCATCCCTTTTATCATCGAAATCAATAAAAGCATAACCTGGCGGCCTCCTTGCAACCCACACACTACACACAACCCATTAACCAAATCATCATCAACACAATAACACATACTCAAGATTCCATAAAACACTAAAAAATTTACGAAATCAACCTTCTTATAACACCGAATCGTCGAAACTCATCTTCAAGCTCACGTTCAGAGACTCTTGGGTCCAAGTTACCGACATAAACCCGAGACATTATTTCTTTGACTAATTATATCTGTCAAAATAAACAAACCCGTTTCAAAAAATCTAATCTTTTTCTGTCTTTAAGCCTCGAACAGCAAAAAAAAACACTTGGAACACTTTCAAGAATCTAGAACAGCAAAAAAAAAAAAAATGTTGAATGCAAAATTCTTGAAAAACAGTAAAAGAGAGACTTCATGTGCTGTAGATTTAAGATATTTTCGTTAAAGATGACACAAATATGAAAGAGGAGGAGAGAGATCTGGGACCGAACCGGTAGAACTTTGTAGAGAGAAACCCTAGTCGCTCTGTTTTTTCCCCTTCAGTGTTTTTCGGATATTTTAAGGGCTTCGAAAGATATTATTATAGAGAGTGGCAAGTTAGTGAATTTAAAAGGTCCTTCAGGTTTGGAAAGTTTATAGGTTAGTCCCTAAGGTTAGGAATTTTATGTTTGAGGATGACTTTGCACTTTGGGCCTGAAATTAGGAAAAGTGAGGATGGGCTAATTTTAGATTTTAGAATTTATGCCTGGTTTTATAGAAGCAGCATGCTTTCTGGTGAGCTGGATTTAAGAAAAGTCAATAATTCATATTACAGTTATTAAAAGTTGGGCTTATTATTTTTGGTTGATTTAATTTTTAAAAAAATTAAAAGTCAATAAATCTTTTGTTGGGCTTCAAGAATCAATTTAATATTTTAATCGAGTCATGTAAGCTAAATTCTTCTTTATACATTAACATTTTTTTAGTACTTTTTATATATTAATGGTAAAAATAGAAAAAAATCTGGAATAAAATTATTTTAATATATTTTTAAATAAAAAATACTTTTAAAAAAAAATCTTATATAACAATACGAAATGCACATATTTAATAGTATAGCGCATTGCTATATTATATTAAATCATTATTTTTAATTTGAAGTTCTCAGGAAGATTTTATTTTATTTTTTGCAAGAAAATATCTCTTACTAATTTATGTCATAGAATATTTTTCTCTCATGATTAAACATTCAAATTTATAGAAAAATTATATGATAATGTGCAGACACGGTTTATATATCCATTGAATTTAGTACCTAACTTCTTCATGCCCAAACCCTGCAAAACACTTGCATCTTTATTTTATTTTTGGGTTTCAGACAGTATTATATATATTCTCTTATTTGTGCAAATGTTTTAAGAAAAATACTAGATTTTTTGGCAAGTGAGATTTTAAATAATTTACAAAATGAGAGAAACAAATAGCTGTTTTATAGATATGTTTTCATGTATTATATAAATTTTGTAATTAAGAAATAAAAAGATATTATTTATATTTTATAAATTAAATTTAAAAATGTATGAATTGATAAATAAAAAATTAAAGTTAATTAAATATCAAAAGCGGGAAGCTGATTTTTCTAGTAAAAAAATTGATAGATACACATGAAATGTTTTGCAAGTTGTTATTTTATTTCATTTATTTTAGGGGTTGATTATTGTTACTAAATACAAAAGATTTTAATTTTTTAAATGAGTTGTACAAATTCATCTAATTTATATAAAATTAAAAATTAAAAATAAATTATACTAATTTCATCAAAGTATTAAACTAAAAAAATATTTTTTAAAAGAAATAAATAGTTAAAAATAAAGTTAAGATAAACATTTTTTTTAAATGAGGGCATCAATCCATATTTAAATATAAAAAAATAATTTAAAGAAAAGAAAACCGCAAAAAAAAGCTAGGCAATGATAGGTGTGGTAGGAGCCTCACTTGTCATCATCAGCCCGGCAATCCTTTTTTTTATTTTTATTTTTTATTTTGAAAGAGCCCGCTCCAATTTTTTTTTAGATAAGCAACAGGTTGCTGGCAGCATAATATTCAAGTTTTTTTTTAATTAGAAATTTATTATAAACTTATTTTGATAAAAAAAAAAAAACCACACTTATATATAGCCTCTAATCATCAAATATATATATATATATATATATCTTAATTTATTATTTTAGCGTGATTATAGTAATGTTTCAAAACAGGTACAATCCATGTTTCATGAAATTTTATATTTTTGTATAAATTTAATTTTGTTTTTATATTTTCATATCATTTTATCACTGATATAAAAAATAAAGGTCTGTGCCATAGCCCATTCAAATCATTATAAAAAATATTCGCACGTGTGTTTGTATATTATCTTAGGACAGTAAATAAATATAAATTTACTGGCAAAAGGTTCATGATCACTTGAAATGGTTTATTATAATGTCCTCATCGTTTATGAAGTAACAAAATGAAATAACTTCTTACGGTATGGTTGCAAGTGGTCATTTGTAATTTCCATTCTTGTGAGATGATTAGTTATATTACAAGAGAAATTAAATAAACTCTTACGTCATAATAGGTAAAAATATATTTCAAAGTTTTTAAAGACATCATTAGAACAAAAAAAAAAATGAGGGTTTTTTTGTTTACATATATTCATTACACTATGGAGGTAGAAACAATAATTGGATTGACTATCAAGAGTAACACAATTTTTTCAAGGTATAGTAAAATAATTAAATTATTTTTAAAATTAAAATATATTTAATTGGTATCCAAGAGATTTCTTTTAATTTTTTAAAATATAGTAAAATAATTAAATTATCTTTAAAAACAAAATCTCTTTAATTGACATCAAGACTTTTTATCATAATCAAATTGATTAAGAAAAAATATGATATTTTAATAAATATAAAATATTATTTATAAATCAAAATTATATAGCACGCACGCAACAACACATCAATTGTTTTTACGTGTTCGGACAGCATGCGCAATATATTTTGATGCTAAAGTCAAATTTCTTTGTTCTTCTTTTTTTTTGCTTCTTTTCTCTTTTTTCTTTGAGTTTTGCGTCTTGCATTTTAAATTCTTAAACAACCCTTTAATTTATTTTTTCTTCAAATTAATTCTTATTTTTTTATTATTTATTTTATTTAAAATAATTCATATAACTAGAGTTTTTTCTCATTTCATCCTTTAATTTTTTCATCTACCAGATTTGATCTTTATTCTTTCTATTGTTATTTATTTTATTTGAAATAATTTTAAAATTGATTTTTATTTTACAATTCATCGTTCATCAGCTTTTTTATATTTGATTTGATCCTTATTTTTTTATTGTTATTTTTTTTACTTTGATAAATTTTTTAAATTGATATTTTTTTATTTCATCTGTCAATATTAAATTGATTGAAAATTGAGTTTCTTTATTTACCTAAGTTTAAGATTTCATAGGTTATGATTTTAAAAGATCAACTCAAGTTTAGGAGATTTGTTTGGGTTTTTTTTTTTTTTAACTCATGTTTTTTTAGTTTCATCCTTCAATATTTTTTATATAATTTTTCATTAATTCTAAAAATGACTTAGGTTATCTTTGATCCTTTTATTTATTATTATTTGTTAAATTTAGTTATTTTATTATATTATTAAATTAAATAAATTTATTGAATTTAGTTTAGTTAAGTTAATGATCCAAATATTGAATTTTTCTTCCTTCTTTAAAAACAATATCATATCATTTAAACATTATTTTTTTATATTAGAAAAACTTTGATGTTACTCAAGCCACCAATCTAATAGCAGTAAAGTTATAAAACCTTACTGGATACATAATTTGATCCAACACCCAATTTAGAAATTATTTAGGTTGATTTGAGTTAATTAAAATGATATTATTTTTATTTTTTAAATTAAATAATATTATTTTAAAAAATTAAAATCAAAACAAGTTTTGATTCTGTCGAAGAAATTGTGAGTTGATTTGTTGGACTTCATCAGGTCACCTTCCATCCATTTATTTTGAAATCCAACCACAAGTCTTGGGTTTTGTTGCTTGGATTATATATATATATATATATAAAGAAATTAACATATATGTGCTACTTTGACCAAAGCTGCTTCCCATTCAATTTGACAACGACCTAATAAAATCAGGTGCACATAAACCATAAATAATTTGTTATTTGCTTGCCACAAACTCATGGAGAATGAAAGTGAAATAAAGGAAATAACAAAGGAAGCCAACAAGCAAATTTCTGCCTCCCTTAATTAGCATATGCTCTACTAATTAACATCGACGAAGTTGGTCGATAAGCTTGCTTAGGGTATCATAAGACGACCCACCTTTCTGCACCGCCCTCCTAGCCACCCGGCCAAGGGCTTCCGCCCTCTCTCTTGCATTCCTTCCCTTCTGTCCTCCCATTAATTCCTTCACACCTTCACTTACTGCTTGCCTTGAAACAAGAACTTGATAGCCTTGATTTTGCACCTTCTTGACACTAGTCCCGGCTCCAAGTCCATCCACTATAAGCTTTGCATTCAAAGATTGTTCAGCCATCATGGGCCAAGCCAGAATCGGCACACCAGCTGCTACACTCTCTAGCACCGAATTCCAACCACAATGACTCAAGAACCCACCTGTTGCACGATGAGATAGTATTTGGCGTTGATCAACCCATTCTTTTACAATCAAACCTCTACCTTTTATTTTCTCTTCCACGCCACGAGGTAAAGACCATGACTTTGAACGTACAACCCATAAGAATGGGAAGCCTGACTCCTCCAAGCCAAAGGCTACCTCATCAAGCTGAGAATCTGATACAGCAGCTTGAGTACCAAATGAAACGTAGATCACAGAATCTGGTGTGATTTGCTCATCAAGCCATTGTGTTGACATGGAGGAAATTTGACTTTGGTTAATGGATTTCTCAAGATCCTCCATGTCGTCATACAAAAATAAAGGGCCTAGACACCAAGCCTTAGCCCCATTCATGTAAAAAGACTCAAAAGATGGGATATGGTTCTCTTCTAACTCTTTAAAGCTATTAACAATGATTCCCCAACTCTTTGCATCATCCTCACCCACCTCTCCAATGAATTTAGACATGGGATCATTATGGTTCGATGAGTTCACGGTTTCTGCAGGCAAGTCTGCTTTGGTCAAAGTGAAGGGAAGTCTCATACCAGGCAGGTCAATAGGATCAAACATAGACAATGAATCTATTTGTGGTGCATGTACCCAAGATGATTTGCTAATGGCCATTGATAGAACACCCATGCCATGAAAGGCTAACCTAGGGACACCTAATTCTTGACATGAAGCAAGTGACCAGCCTAGAAAGAAATCAGAAATAACACATAAAGGAGGGGTGTTGGATTTTATCATGGTTTCAAGTACCTGTTCAAAGGGCTCCCGTAGTTCTTTGGCGGCTTGAAGAAAAGGAAGGAGAAATTCCATTGAAGGAAGTTGAGATGTGTTCTCACAACCTTTTGGGAGGCCATCAATGGTGGGGAATGGGATTTCATGGAGATTGATATCAGGGTGATTAGTAACATACTTGGCTATTGAGTCAG